ATGATGCGCAAGATCCTCCTGAAGCTTCATATATGGACCACAAAACAGAAGCCTTCGCTTTGCATATAGCACACATGCATTGAAAAGCTGCGGTGATAACAAAGGAAATGGTTTGCAAACAAAAAAGATCCCATTCACATATTTTTTGCATTTCTTTATTTCCATTCTTGTCCTATTCCAGACCTCAAGCCCATTAAAAATGGCCATCAGTGTAGCACAAATAAACTTTTCAAAAGTAGTCCTGTGGTTGGTAGGAAACGTTTTGAAAATTAGCTTGGACCATATTATCTGCACCCACTGTTGAATAAGTCACTTAAGACCAACTCAAGCTTTCATTGGTAAAGTGTAAAGATCCTCCTTTATTCAGTATCTCTGAGGCAGATTTTGGTCTGATGGTTTTAACTTCATTAGGGCTTTTTACTTTTTGGTTCTTATTGAAATGAAGTGAGGCGAGATTTACAGGACTTTTTTTTTTTGTGAGATCTGTTTTTCACTTGTTTCTTGCCACAAATATTTCTGACTCAATGCTAAATTACTTGATTGTTTTCTGAGGCTTATTTCATTCATTATTAGTGTAATATTTAACAGTATATACATTGGGTACGGAAAGTATTCAGACCCCCTTCAATTTTTCACTCTTTGTTATATTGCAGCCATTTGCTAAAATCATTTAAGTTAATTTTTTTTCCTCATTAATGTACACAACGCCCCTGGGTGGAGAGAGGACTTGATCTGACAATGTCACGTTTCTCAGTTTAATTTATTTGTAATATTTATAATTGCATATTTAAATTTTTTTTCATTTTAATTAAACAGGATTGCCTTGAAAATGTGAAATGTTCAAAACATGTTAAAGTAAGTTCGCAAAAAAAAAAACTTGCATACATTTTCAGTCTTGCCAACCTTCAGCCCATCTATTTAAACCTTTCAGTGTCTCACAAAGTGATCATCTGATTTGACGATGAACTTTGTGAACTTTGAGTAATTCAGATTATTTTTCCCCCTGCCTGTCGTGAGATTTGCTTTCCAGCCGAATATCTGAGAAAATTCTGCAGAAAGTGCATCGCATTTGAAGACAAAACCTCAAGCCCACAAAAGCCCTCCTTCGCAAAGCTCAGGCTCTCTGATATCACGCCATGACACATTTCTTGTCAGCAGAACGGTACAGGCGTTTTAATTGAATTCTTCCAGTTACACAATCAAATGCTCCTGCTGCAGTGATCTCTTTGTCTTTTTTGTGAGGAACTCTGAGATCATTTACTTATGAGAAAATTTAAGGCCCTCAAATAAAAGAGGTGCAAGTTTAGTTTTGTTTTTATTAGTTTGAAGATATTAGTGGAAAAGTTTCACTTTTGTTGTTGAGGTGTGGCAACAGTGCTTGTTTAAAACATCAGGAATTTATGTAGTAAATGCAAACTAATGGGGTGTAGATACATTTATTGGCAGTTAATGTACCCAAAACACATACAGAGTTGAATGGTAGGAAAAACTGACTGCGTTGTGCTCTAGTTTCGCTTATCGCCCCAGACAGGTGTGGTGGCATTGCTGATGAAGGTACAAACAGACAGGGTCATATCTTTCAACCCTCTACGCACATTTGGCAATATAATCACCATTGGCTAGTACATTTTTTACCAGACTGATATACTATTTTATACGCACACACATACATACATACATGCATGCATATATACGTGTGTGTGTGTGTGTGTGTGTGTGTATTATGTGTATATATCTGTATGTATTTGATTCCACCAATTCTACTACTATATTGACAATATACAACGCACTAAGGATTGATGAGCTGCTGGGTTCATGAATATTAATCACATTGTCAGCGTTCGCTCAAACTGATTTGCTGAAATCAAAACAGGGACGGTAATAGATGAGCGCCAGCCAATAAGATTGTCATTTGTGCATTAGCTCCGCCCACTACCGGAGAAACCGGCATATCTTCTGCTTGTTCATAATTCTAAATGAACTCTGTTGTATTTTCCTGTCAAAATAACAAAGAATATAGTTTACATGTAGCGCGTTGATTCAGCGTGGTATGTAAGACTCTCGCTCGCTCTCTTTGCATGTGTGAGAAACCGCACTATCAGCAAAGTGATGGCGAGTCATGAGCCTTCACACTAGAGTTTACAGTGCGTCAAATACAGGTATGCTGTGCATCCATTGAGATGAATTGAATTATAGTACAGATAGCTTGATGGAGAGCAATACTCCCAAGCGCTCAGTCAGAGTGTTCAGTGAGTGAAAATATATCTACTAAACTCATAATTAGCCTCGAACACACACACTGGCGAGTAAAATCTAAGAATTTATTAGCCAATGGCTAACGATAGACATTATTTAGTTGCCCAGATTGAAGATGTTGTCGCATATGAGAGTGATTTACTCGCAATGTAGAGAGTTTATAACATGAACGCTTGACCTTGTGCACACATACATTCAGTATTCACTTTCACTTTGCTGAAAGAGCTATAAAGTGAAATGTAGTGAGAGTGAGTGGGGCCCACCTGTGGCCCCCGAACCCCCTCTCATGCCCACTAATCTGATAGCATTAAGACATTAGACTCCACCACAACCAGCTATTCTCAGCTGCTCATAGCTGATAAAGTCGTGGGACTCTCGTGAATGGCGGTGGACACTGACAAGGAAGAGAAGAATTGTTGAATACATTTTAATTACATTTTTTTTTCTTTTCAGTTGTATGTTCACACCATTAGAGCCACACACAGTGGTGGATCACATTGTGTGGTGGTGTTTGTTGATGACGAGTGGCTGCATCAGCCATTGAATCGTGTTTCTAAGAGTAGTCTTGTAACGATCCTGACTGAACCGGCGCGGCATGTTCGTCCCGGAGTATCTGGAGTTTGACCGCTAGTAACCTCTCTCTCTCTGTCCCCATCAGCCGCCTTTGTTTTGCCTGCCAGGTAATTCATCACATGAATCTGATGTCACCGCAGGGAAGTGCCTCGTCAGGCCGGGCGAGACTCCCTTTGTCAAACGGCAGGTCTTGTTTGTTTGTCTGCCCTATGAATCCACCTCAGTCTTTCATTCTCAGTCTTTTTTCTAGTGTCTTTTTTTAATCCAAAGTCAATGTTTATCGGCCCGGGGCTTTTGTCGGCAGCACTATGCGAACTGATATGCCAGTGTTTGTTTTCCTAAAGAGCCATCACCTGCGTGCAGAGCAGGAGTATCTCCCAGCCTGTTTTTGGTGTTCCCATGCTCCTCTGTTGGCTGGGGAACAGAGGTATGCTGGGGGAAAACATCAGTTCTGTTTGGCCTCCAAACCTAGTCTCAGGGGACTTGCAAAATTTGACTTGTAGTGGACATAAATAGACATTAGGGTATGGGGACATAAGGGCTTTGGGTCAGATATGCATAAACCTGAAGGAGCCCGAGCTGTTAGTACAAGACAACTGGAGGTTTAGGGAGTAATTTACCCATGATGCTGTTAAACAGGTTTGTAAAGAACCACAGGAGCAGATGAACAGCTGATACAGTTCAGGCAGCTTCAACTTGTTTTTCCCTGAACAATATGTATGACATGTTAGAACAAATTTTTTATATATATATATATATATATATATATATATATATATTATATATATATATATACACTAACTAAAAATAATTGCACTTGTAATTGTAATGGTACTTGATGTTTACTAATAAACAATGTTATTAACAATTTATAATTTAAAAATAATATTAACAACATTTATTTAATTGTAAAATTACTATATGTGAATAAAAACTTTACAATTACTTAATTAAAATATTAATTATTGTAAAGTTGTTGTATTTTTAATAACATCTCATTTGTATTTTGTTTTCACTCTATTATGATGCAGGAATGCAAACAAACATTGATTCATAAGTTTATTTACTTTTACATTTCTGTTTTTTACTTTTTTTCTGTTTGTCTTTTTTTAAAATCATGCACAATGCAGACATACGAACTCAAACTTTTTTCTTTTTCTTTTTTTTTATTCCTATTTTTGTTCTAGTTTTCAACCAGATTTTCCAGTCCCAGTCCTGCTCTTCTAACAATCATTTATTGACTGTTGATCACAGAAATTATTGTGCGTCTGCAAAATACCTTGCTGTCTATCAGTACATTTGAGCTGAGCAGGAAGTATTCCGACACTTAGTCAAGGTGAAAAACATTCCCTTAGAGAGAATTAATCAATAGGGAAAAAAAGATAAGTCAATAACAAACCAGAGTTCTCATGGCTGCAAGCCTGGTTAATGTGACTTTAACGGCAAGTTTTTATACTTGAGACTTCTCCTGTCGTTGATCAATCAAAGAACAAATACAGATAGTCCCACAGACAGCTGAAAAGAGATCCGTCCTCAGTAAAACTCACGATTAGCCCTACTGAATTACAGCTACAGGGATATATGTCAGCTTTGTCAGCAGTGAGTATTGAGAGTGGTTTTCATGCTTTGTATGAGACGGCATGCTTATCGTTTAGTAACACGCTGACAGCGTTCTGCGTTAAGAGCCGTATAACCACAAGGCCAACAGATACGAGAGGTAAGACCGAGACGGGAGCAAAAGTCAAACCAATTCACACACACAAATGCAGTTGCAAAGTTCTTCTGTTTGGTTTTTGAAGTGAAAGTGACCATTTCAAATGGAAACCGTCATTTCTGCTTTTCCTTTGACCTTTTGATATTTTCAATTGATTTTTGGCCTTATCTGGTTTACACTGTTCCTTTTTAAAGGGTCAGTTCAACTAAAATGATCTCTATTCATGGATCATACTAAAATGCTATTTGGATCTAGCACATGAGAGCATATGCAAGATGTGTTTTTGTAATTCAAGTTCCCTGTGGCCTGTTTCAGTCTGCATGGGTCGCTCTCGCTTTCCTGTACCACCTGTCGACATCCATATGCATGTCCCTCACTTTCCACCGTACCAGCAGCCACCTGTTTCCATTCATAACTAACTCTCTCACTTTCCTTGTCTTTCTCTTCTGCTCAACAGACACCTGTTTTTTATGCATGTGAAAGAGGATCTGCATCGTGGACATCTGCGGATGTGCTCGGAACAGGCCGAAGAGCTCAGCTCTCTCCTGGCCCAGGCCGAGTTCGGTGACTATAACCAGAACACAGCCAAGTACTGGTACACTGAACTCTGTGGCACAGAGCCAAACCAAGCCACCATCAACAGGTAAACAAACAAAATGTCAATCACAATTATCTCTATGACCTTCAACTTGTTTTTTTTTAATCATGTTTTTACAAAAACATTAAGTGAGTGTTCTGGGTTTAATAAAAGTTAAGCTGTATTGACAGAAATTACAGAAAATAATTACTTGTCGTTCTATGGGGGGCGGGGGGGGGAATTACACATATATGACAAACATTTGCCGTAGTAATCAACATTATGTCAGAAATGGTGTTAGAACCTGGAACTTTCCTTTCTAGAACTGATAATTTAGTTTATCCATTTTATAAATCAATTAGAGAGAATAAAGATTGAGGTCACCGGATGTGGTGCAGTATTTTCTGTTTATATATAATTTGATGAGAAGATTCATAGACTTGCTTTATAGGCAATATTTTTTACACACTAAAAACGTTGGGCTTGGTAAGATTTTTTTTTTTTTGTAATGTATTTGAATTTTGAATTCTCTTTTGAGAATTTGAATTCTTTTTGAAGTCTCTTATGCTCACCAAGGCTGCATTTATTTGATCAAAAAATACAGTAATAATCAGCAATATAACCGTAATATTTATTTTAATATATTTCAAAATAATTTCTTCCTGTGATGGCAAAGCTGAATTTTCAGCATCATTAGTCCAGTCTTCAGTGTCACATGATCCTTCTGAATTTATTCTAATATGCGGGAACATTAATTATCAATGTAAAAAAAGAGCTGTGCCGCTTAATATTTTTGTGGAAAGTGTGCTGCATTTTTTTTTTCAGGATTCTATGATGAAAAAGTTTAAAAGAGCAATATTTATTTGAAATGGACATTTCTGTAAAACTATAAATGCATTTTACTATCACTTTGGGCCAATTTAATGTGTCCTTGCGGAATAAAAGTATTCATTTCTTTAAAAAATATTTCTGACCCTATATCTGATCAAATATAAATAGCGAATGTAAAAGCATGTAGTCATGCAGTTAGTATGAAAACATTCCCAGCGGTTTGCATATTAGCGTGTACAAGTTTTGGCAGCTACATTGCATGGCTGATATTAATTTCACTGGGTTGCAGTTCTGATTATAAGATGTAAACACGTCTGTTATGAACACAATACAATGTTAAAAATAAAAGTGAAACTAAAAAAAAATAATGCATTAAAATATAAATAGAACTGAAAACCACAAACTGTGTTAAAATAAAACTGATGATCCCACAAATTGCCATCCAGAAGGAGCAACCAATCAGTGTACTTTCTCAAAATATTACTCTAGTGTAAAGGTTGTGATTTTCTTTTTTTTTTTTTACCCTCAGATACATTTTTAAACTGGTTGCTGGGTGTTTAGGTGATTACTTTCTGGACCAATTCAAGGGAGCTGAGCTGTAATCTGTGCACTCTTGTGAACATCTTATCCAGAGCCGTGTGGATGTAAACAAAGCACTCCTAATGCTGTTTGACTAATTACACTGCTCCTTTTATAGAGTTCTGTTCAGACTCTTTCGCTTGTTTGGGTTAGATAATAGAGGACCTAATCAACTACAATCAAAGAGGATTAATGAAATCTGTCTGTAGTGATTAATCATCATTGTCACAGAATCAAATTAAGACTAATGCCTAAAAGAAGAAAATCAAAGAGCCTTATACAGGGGAACACACAGCCATGGACTTTGTCAGTGATTGACATGTTATTTTACTTGTTTGTGCACAATATGTTGGCAACTTTATTGGTATTGCCCATGTTAACATTATCTTTTTAAATTATCTACCGGTCTGTTTTATATGCTGATACTGGAAGCAGATATTGTATTGTTTTGCAGTTTAAACAATAAATCATTAGCCATAATACAAGTAATTGTCACATAACAGTATTATTACAATATAATATATCATATTATAATATGTTTTTTTTCTTTATTAGTCTGATTTGGCAGATACTGGAATTGGGTATTATCTGGGCTTTTTTTTCTTTTGGCTTTTTTTTAAATGCACTTGATGCATGCAGAGTTTAATTTAGTTTATTTTTTCATTTTACTTTACTTTTTAGTTTAATTTTAATAAATAGTTTTAGATTTAATTGAACAATTTTTGTTGTTGTTTGTAGACAACATACTAAGTTAAATTGATTCATAACTTTTGAGTCATCATATCTGTTACCAGCCATAATAAACATAAACATGATTAGGAATTTTCAGTATTGGTCAGTTGTTGTTTTTTTTTTTTTTTTTTTTTTCTTTTTCCCGTACGTTGATTTTTAACTACAGTGGTGTCTTTTTTTTTTTTTTTTTCTTTTTCCCGTACGTTGATTTTTAACTACAGTGGTGTCTTTTTTTTTTTTTTTTTAATCTCATGTCATACACACCAAAAGTAAATCTCTTCTCTCCTACTTTTTACATGATCTGCTGGTGTCATTTTCCTCTCTGACTCATCCATCACCCTGTATTAATGCGCATTTTGACGTATCGCATCAGAAACAAGTGATGGAAACGCCAAATTAATAAAAAAAACAACCTTAATTTGCAAACATTTTATGCTTGCTTGAGGTTGCATAATAATGCGAGATGGAAACGCATTTGCCGAAAAAAATCCTCCATGCGCATCAAAAAAGTCATGTGACTTTGCATTATGGGACGGCATAACCTGACTAACCAGTGAACCGATCTTGGTGCACTGCATCTGAAATGTTGTTATGGTCATTCCTAAATGCCCAAGCAAAGTCTGTCGTCAAAGTGTTTCTGTATAATTGCCTCCCAGAACTGTCTTGCATGACTGCATTCCCACACAGCAGCATCCACCGCCAAAAGGTGCAAGTGATTTATTAAATATGAAAATTATTATATTCAGTGGCTATGTGATATTTAGTGCCAGTTTATCAGGAAGTGACGATTTTGTTCTCTTTGACTCGTTGGATGGAAACGGTGCTTATTCGCAAATGTTTTATGTGATATTCTAAATTTTTCGTATAAGTTAAATTCGCAACTTTGGATGGAAACCCAACTAATGTCTCTTGTTTTTTTTGGCAGTATCATAGCCAAGCACAAGGCTCTGGAGGGTCTGAGCCAGGCGTCGGTGGAGTACCAGGCCCTGCAGCTGGTGTCGTCTCTGGAGCATTATGGGGTGGAGTGGCACTGGGTGCGTGACGCTGAAGGACAGAGGTTGGCTATCGGAGTGGGACCAGACGGTATCGCTATCTGCCGAGAGGACTTCAGCCTGGTTAACAGGTTAGGCACAGCATGAAGTGCTCTTGATGGTGTAACTGTCATAAAATGATGCCCAGCTCACATCCCAGAATGTCATGTAACATTAAATCAATTTGTGCCATCGCTGCCTTTCAGTAATGCGTCATATTTTCCATTCATTTCAGGATATCTTATCCCATAATACAAATTGCCACGCAATCAGGGAAGAGCGTTTACTTGACTGTCACCAAGGAAACCAGCGACAGTGTGATCCTGCTGTTCAAGTTAATCAGTAATCGAGCAGCCAGCGGTCTGTATCGGTCCATCACAGAGACGCATGCCTTTTACAGGTGAGACACCAGAAACCCTTCAGTGAGCACAATGATGCATCATTACATTCCAAAAAAATCTTTTTTTTCCTGTTAAGCAGCTTCTGCACACGACTTCTGTTACGTGACACTGAGTATCTAGCATGCTTTAGTCTGGACCACTCAACATATAGTCAAACCAAAATTTATTCAGACACTTTCAACATTTCGCACATTATCACAGTTTATTTGCTATAGTTTCGGTAATAAAATATGACAAGAACTCCGAGTTAAACTGTGTCAGAACAAATGCATCTTGATAATGTCAGATAACACTTGAGCAAAACATGGTCAGGTCAAAGTGTCTGAATTTTTGGTCCCAAATGTTTATCCGTTTTACTGGTAGTCCACTGTATGAATAATGTTTGGGTGTAATATGTCACAGTTTACTTTATTTTGCTATGCTCACTTACATAAATGAACTATAGTGTCCTGCACCCACTAGTAAAAAAATATAAAATATTATATCTGGTGTCTGAATAATTTTTGGTTTGACTGTATGTTGTTCTTTACACATTGTTATGATAGAAAGGAAATAATCTTTGGCCTGGCTAATTGTTTGAATTGCTCTGTTGTGAGGAGTTTTGTGCTTCTGTTCTTTGTATGGTTGTCAGAAAAGTACAGGATTATGTGCTTTTGTTTTGGGCTTTCTCTGAGCATAGTTCATTGCAAACTAGCTTCAGCCATTTTTTTTTTTTTTGTAAACAGCTCATTGTGAGAACTTCTTGCATCGTTAAACACGTTACAAAGTAACTAAGAACAAATAAGCTGTACAAGTGGGTCAGTCTTACAAAACCATGTCAAAAAAGTAACAATTCTGAAATGTTCTAAAATGACATTTTTAAAATATTAATATAAATATTCATATAAAAAAAATATATATATAAAATTAAATCAATCAATAAATCCCATAAATAAAAAAGAATGGATGTATGGATGGATTGATTAATTGTATTTTATTAATGTAGTAGGCAATGAATCAATCAATAAAATCACATAAATGAAACGCATGCATAAAATCCAGTCAGTCAGTCAAGAAATAAATAAAATCCCATCAATTATTCAATGAATAAAATCCCTAAGTAAATAAAATCCCATAAGTAAAATGAAAGCAACCTGTGCCTGGGTGATGGCATCCACTATCCAGTGGGCCATCCTCTACTTCGAGACGGCATTCCCCTTCTGCCCCTTCTGCCGACAGACAAAGAGCTGGTCTGAGGTCCTGAAGCTTTGCGTCCGGTCTACATAGCACCTTAAGGCTCGGACGGGACAGAGCAAAACTAGGGCTGGGTCTGCCTCCTCCGAGGGCAGCGCTCGGAGGTTCACCACCTGATCCCTGACGGGAGTAGCGGGAACCTTGGGCACATAGCCGGGCCGGGGCCTCAGGGTTACCTGGGAGTCAGCCGGCCCGAACTCTAGGCACGAATCGTTGACCGAAAATGTGTGCAGGTCCCCCACCCTCTTGATGGAGGCCAATGCCAGCAGGAGCAAAGTCTTCATCGAAAGAAATTCCAGCTCGACCGTCTGCAAAGGCTCAAATGGGCCCTGCTGTAGTGCTGTGAGCACTAGAGTCAGGTCCCAAGAGGGTATAGAGGGGGGCCGTGGAGGAATTAGCCTTCTCGCCCCCTTAAGGAACCTGACGACCAGGTCATGCTTCCCCAGCGACCTCCCTTCTACGGGGTCGTGGTTAGCAGCGATTGCAGCGACATAAACTTTGAGGGTGGAGGGAGACAGCCTTCGCTCCAACCCTTGCTGCAAAAAGGACAGCACGACTCTG